GAGGATGAAAATGCAGAGGAAAAGGTCGAGGATGGTCGGCAACGTCGACGAGCATCTACTGTCCTCATCTCACAGAACTCGGACGACATGCGAAGGGTGTTGGGGAATGTTGGCACAGCGGGTACTCAGAAGCTTCAATCCCTCTGCTGTGGTGGGGGTTGTTGCCGGGGACAGGCATTGCGCCCTGTAGATGGACCGATCTCAGGCTTCAATTCCATCGTTGGACCTGTTGGCAATAAGGCCTTTGATAGCCTCAAGCTGAACCTGGATCTCCTCACCATGGACAGTGAACTTTCCAACATTGCCCCGCTCCCAGAGAAGACCGTTTCATTCAAGCCGATCCCGGCATCGGCGGTCGATCTGACCTTTGGCCCTGCAGACCACCCGCCGGAATTCGTGCAGCCGCACCCACCTTACCAGGTGTACCGTGCGCCTCTGTTCCACACCCGTGAGTTGACAGGGCCCGGTGCCGAGAAACGTACATACCACTTTGATATCGATGTCACCGACTACCCCGCCGAAAGCGGGATGGTTGACTTTGTAGTTGGCGGTGCAATTGGCGTGTGCCCCAAGAACAAGGACTCCGAAGTCGAAGAGGTGCTCAACCTCCTAGGTGTCCCAAAGTCTATGCGCGATAAGAAAGTCCTTATGCGCACAACCAAAGGCCGCTGGCCGACAATCTGGGGCGACGACAAGCCTCGCGAGCTGATCACTACCCGTCGCGAAGTCCTAAGCTGGTGTTCCGACATCCAGAGTTACGCCCCAACAAAGCCACTCTTCCGCCTCCTCGCCGAATACACAAGCGAGCCAAACGAGAAGAAAATTCTCAAATACCTGTCCTCAGCCCAAGGTCAAGGTGCATTCTGCGACCTACGCACAAGCTCTTTTGTCTCCCTCACCCAACTCCTAACCGCCTTCTCAAGCTCTCAACCACCTCTCGACCACCTTCTCTCCGTTCTCAACACCCTCATGCCCCGCTTCTACTCCCTCTCCCAAGACCCCCAGATCTCCTGCCATTACAAAGGCACCGAATGCCGACGCCTAATTGAGATCGCCGTCACAGTCGCCGAATCCGATGACTGGCGCGGTGGGTCCCGCACAGGCGCAGGGTCCGGGTTCCTGGAGTCCCTCGCACGGCGAGCGATTGCCGCCGAAGCCTCTGGCGAGAAAGTCGACCTACATGTACCCATGTTCCGAGGACTGATGGCGAACCCGCTTGCAACGCGTTTTGCCTCGGACGGTCCAATGCTGCTCATTGGTGCGGGTGTTGGCATCGCGCCTTTCCGCGGCTTCGTGCAGCGCCGTCTGCAGTCGGCAAACTGCGCCAATAAGGTCTGGGTGCTGCAGGGTGTCCGTGACTCGCTCCTTGATGAGCTTTACTCGGGCGAGTGGGGCGTGCATGAGGATAAGGTGCGCACTGTTGTGCAGAGCCGTAGGGGCGAGAGTCGCTATGTGCAAGAGGAGGTGAGACACCAGGCTGATCTTGTTTGGTTTGTGATCAACTCGCTTGATGGTCGTGTCTTTGTTTGTGGTTCGGGTAAAGGTATGGGTGAGGGTGTTGAGGCTGCTCTTATTGATGTTGCTATGGCCAAGGGTAATCTCAATGCTCAAGAGGCCGATATGTTCTGGCAGCGGAAGAAGGAGGCTGGACAGTATATTGCTGTAAGTTTTGATGTGTTTTGATGTTTGTGGGTTATGCTGACTTGCTGTAAGGAAACTTGGTGATCACTTCAATTATACGTGGTTGGCTTGACGCATTATGCCTTGATGGCTAAGTGCTCATTCCAACCATATGCAAAAAACATTGGTCTTTCCTCTGTACATATTTATTCCTGCCCGCATGTAGAAGCTCTGCGGTTGTTTGTTTTTTTCTGTTACGAGCCCATGGCTAGACACACTCGACCAGGTCGTCGACTGGCCTTCCATCATTTTGCTCTTCGCCCGATTCATGTTCATTTTAGCGAGGTGGTTATCTGTTTTTTTCTTCGTTTATATTTTGGTATCCCAGTTCTTGTTCCTCAGTTTCATCCCTTGTGATCTTTCATCCAGTTTAAGTTGAACATGCATAAATCAATATTTGTTTCTATCTGAATATTCATTCTCCATACACTGTTGCCATGTGGTATTTGCTGCTCTCTTCAGGACAGTCTCAGATCCCAACCCAAAACAAAAAACCGACGACACAATAGTCCTACAATAGTTTACCAACTTATACAAAGGGGATCAAACATCAAACATCATTGATCTCTAGCTTTCTTCTCAACGGCCATCCTCAGCTGACCATCTGAACTATTCATCGTTCTCCTAATTTACGCCACCTACCATCTACAGCTATGAGGCTTTCATCGGTCCTCTCCTAATTGTTGCAAGTGCATATTCAGTGTTAAATGTCTGAACTTGTTTTTCATTTTCATCCTATTCTCTCTGATTCCATCTGCATCAATGAGCCCCAACAACTCTAGCTTACTATTCCATCGGCTAGTACGGAGTACATATGCCGTCAATTTGAGATTGAGGAGTGACTGCTCCACATAAAGTAGCGGTGTAGTGGTAACTCTGAGGCAGCTTGAAAAAAGAAACAATGTTGTTGAGACGTCGAATGAGATCTACCCAAAATGCCAGGTTAAAATAGGGACGGCGTGTGCAAAAGGTCAACCCATCACTAAAGCATGGCAGCAATTGCCACGACAGCGGCTGCCCCCATTGGCGCAGCAGTAATCATGGCGGCTGCCCCATTGGGAGTCTTAGTTGCCTGACTGGCAGTGAATAAAGCTGTTCCGGCCGTGACATCGATCCCGTAGGAAGTGTAAGACTGCGTTGGCATATTTTTGATGGAGGTAGAGGTGGAAGTTGAATAGGAAACGCCTGCAGTGGTGCCGGTGACTTTCACGCTAAACGAACAAGAAGGAGACTCGGTAACCTTGGCGAAAGTACAATCGAAGTTGTGGGTTCCAGTCACAGCATTGATCGATCCCGAGCCCGACACGGTATAGACACCCGTGAGACTGTAGGTTTTGGGGCCCTGGATCATGGTCCAGGGTGTAGCGATCTCGCAATCAGACTTGGGCGCATCGCTCAGACATCCGATTCTGTAGGTGGTAGCGACGGCATTGATCCCAGCGACGCTGGCAGCTGTGCTGGTCCATGGGTGGAGGTTCAGTTGACGAACCCACTCCATTCCGCCCCCGAAATAGTTGATTCTAGTGGCTCCATCTGCGGTTACGAGAGCGGCTAGCGCCGTTGCGAGAAACAAAATGATACGCATGATGGATTTCGTTTTTGGAAAAAGCTTGTATGGAAAAGCAACCGACGAGGGAAGAAAGAGAAAGGAAAGAAATAAAGGGGAAAAAGTCCTCTTTAAGCCGCGTTCTTCCAGCCAACAGGGCTCCCCGCATGAACTCAGCCTTGTAAACGGGCTGATACCCTGCCAAGCTATGCAGCTAAACAAAGTGAGACAGTCTTATCGGGCCACAAGGGACATGTATAGGGCACCTAGTAAACCCTCCATTTGATATTCATCTTCTGAGCAATGAAATAGAGAAACTGACTGCAAAAACAATGAAGTCCATCTATATGTATTTCTTCCCGTGGAGTGGCGTTTCAACATCCCTGCATCAGGTTGGGGCCATCATCGGGCAGTGACATGACTCACCGCCAACGCACAGGAAGTTGCGCTTATTTTATATACTGTTATTGGATTTTGTTTAAGAAGAATGGTTTCTCCAATGATGATTCACTGGATATATGTATGGATTTCGACATGACTTGGCGAGCTGTTGAGATAGGCAGCAGAATTTGGGGTGGATGCCCGATAGTTCAGGCCAGTGGCTTATGATATAGTTATCTAGACGCAATAACTAACTAACTAGTAGTGAGCGACACAGGACGACACCAATCGCCGGCGATATAGGCTCTATGCCATGCAAGTGTGAGACTTCTGGTTAAAAGCGCCCTCAATCAGTGTACATGTTGCCAGCATAGATAGTAAGCTGCAAGACCTAGCAAGTCATAGTAAGAGTATCTACACATAGATAGCCAGCCATACACTTCTCTGTCTTCCTGATTCCCTGCTATCTCATCAACTTACCATAAGCCCCAGTAGTTCCAGGCTTCTCCCCTTGGCAATTTCTCTGAATACTTCCTAGATACGTCTGCAGCTGTCCCATTGTGTGTTTCCCGCTAGTAACTAGTCTTTACAGGGGGGTGCGAACTATTTAACATCCACTTGTTCGAACCCCTTTCACACCAGATGCTAATCTATATATGAGTTAGATCGTGTTGGGCCCGCAGGCCCCTAATGATAGGACCATGTAGTGAGCTAGTTCTCTCCTCCCTTATCTTTTCTTTGTTCTCCTTTCTCTCTCCTGTCCATTTCTCTCCGTAGGAATCATACGCACAATCTTTTGTCCATTGACATCCCCTTGTGTGGCAATCCTTAGATATTGTTTCATGGTCATTTCACGATAATCTCATATGATAAATCGTATTGGGGACCATTCGAAATTCCGATACTTGAGACTGGATATCATTCCGTTTGATACGCAACTTCATCGCCGCCCCCCTCTATCATTATAACCTTGATATAAGTGAGCAAATTGAGCCGCCACCAGTGATATTCCTGAGGTGCTAAATTCCTCAGTACTGCCTCTCGGTCAACGCTGAAAATTGGAGTGATGAGCCATCTATATGGTGACAGAGATGGTGCACTGTTTGCTCGCAGCCTGGTTGCTTTCTTCGCACACTTCGCCGCCTCTAGTGATTGGTCTTTTGAACTATCACCGCCCAGCAGCGATGATCCGCTTGGACTGGAGTTCCTATCCCGCCATCCAGCTTTCCCCCCGCACATTGCTACTGAAGGGTGTATACCCCTTCTCGACAATTACATAGACCGGGCCGTTTCAGTGTTCGAATCACCCAGTGATATACGATTGACGCCTCCACAATACAATTTGCCGCCGGCTTCAAGTATATATGACATACCTCAAGCCCCGGTATTCACTATGTCACAGTCTATGGAGGATAATATGCAGGCAGGCCCCCCGGGGCCGAGAGAGTTGTGCCAGATAGCTTCAAACTGCATGCTGTCGGCTTTTAACATGAGAAATGCTGTCAAGGGCGCCAAAGACAATCTCATGCGCACCGCCACGGACCGCCCGAGAATTCCTAAATCGTCCATCGTTTCTAGTGCTGAATACGTGTTCGCTACCGTTATGTTCGGAGGACTCTGGTACTTTTACGCCAGTCATTCTTCGGTCAAACCAATTTTGGACACCTGGTGTTCATGGCTCAATGACCGGGTTCCCGGTGCTAGGGCACCGCCAATCACGACTATTCCTTGGCTCGGCTCTACTAAATCGTTGTTCACTGCCGATACAGAGACAGATATTCTCGCGACTTTGTGGACTTTCGTGACCCGCGGTGCTGGTAATCTCCAACCTACCGGGTATCAGGCCAGCTTCTCTGAGTTCTATTCAATGATGGCGCTGCGAGCAGGCGTCAGTTTTGTCGCTTGCGATGGCACGCTAGTAGTCGATGTTGCTGTCGTCGTGCAGACAGTGGCCCAGATTCCAAATCTAGGGTATGATGGTATGACCGGGGACCAAAGGGGAGCTGCGATATTTCTCAATGGCGGTATGGGCAAAGCTTGGGCTGCTCGCTTTCTTGCAGCCGTCCGTTGGTATACCATCTGCTCTCCTAGTGCGATGGGATTGAGCGCAATAGCGAGCGGCTTATATGCATACACATCAAAACGCCATGGACCCGGTTATTGGAATTACGTCCGCCCACGACTCATCTGCATGCAGGGTCATACGTCCAGCTTTGATTTACCCGTATGTAACCCCAGCTTTTGGTACGATGGCGGGCTTGAAGGGTGTCGGCCAGCGCCGCCCCATCCTTGCAGTCACCGCCCACGCCCGATATACAACTCCCCTCTAATTGATGCCATCAACGCTGTGTCTTCAATTACAGAGTGTGAGACTTATGGCCAATGGCGCTCCCAGATTGATACATCCGTTGCCAGTGTGGATAGTTGGCTGCGTGACCTAGCAAGCCATGGTGAGAGCGATGTCTTGCTCCGTGCCACAGCAGGAGCAGCCCCAAGCTTCATTAATCTGTTATCTAGCACCCTCGCTGCTGAGCTGGAATATGATTGATCTCCTTGTGTGGAAGTCAATGATTTGATGGAGTAAATCAATTGAGAATTGTCGAGTTGTCTACCGTTTCTTAATAGTACTCCTTAATTTGTAAAGCCCTTCCTTCGCACAATATAATAGTCGAATATACAATTAAAATCTTAACATATATCATACCTGTGACATAGAGGAAATAGAGTTAAGCATTCAATGGTCTATGCAGGTGAACTGTGGTATGAACCAATCGCTGCCCTCCTATTGGCTGTCTTTCTTCTGGATATATAAGGCGGTAACAAATCCACCGTCATCTAATGAATTTTTTCCCACTTTCTTCCCCAACACCTACTGTCAAAATGGCACAACACGGAATAAACCCAGAACTCCTTCCCATCAGAATTTCTGCAAGGGCTTTGACTCCAACACCCAATACTTCACGTCTTGATCTCCTCTATTCCACTGTGGAAGCCACCATCCAAGATGTGCAAACTCGATCTGAGGCTCACCCAGACCTCATTATAATTACTGGTATCACAACACAGGAAGGTCAACAACGCTGGGACATGCTAGACGAAAATTTCGAGTCGAACGGGATCCGAAAGTGCCTCGATACGCGCACTAAAACCTTGAATATCAAGCTATGAGTCCTGGGCAGATATACTAACAACACACTTATCGCTCTTCAACGAGGTCGAAATTTACGTTGCTGAGATCATATGGCGCTTGCTCCGGGTCAGAGATAAGACCTTATTGTTTATTGCTTTCTGGGACTATAATAGGACCCCGAAATAAAAATTCAGTTGATTCTTCCTCCTCTTTCCCGCCTCCTTTTTAGAAGCCCAAAAGACGTCGACGGCGACAATCTTCCTATGCTTTGTGGCGTCAACAGTCACACTGCTATATCATGGTAGGGTGTCGAGGTGCGGCAGTGCTTCTTATCCCCCTTTGGCAGCTTAGAATTGCTGCTTGGTAGCCTGAGACCCTTGCGCCCTACAATAACCTGGCGAAGCCGCCGTCCACAGCTGCCACCGAACCAGTCACGTTCCTTCCTCGACCGACTGCCTACGTCAACCGAGAAGAGATACTAGCCAACCGAAATATCGACGCTCACTCCTTGCCTCGAAATTGTCTACAGCAAGTTCACATCGATGTTTACTACGGGATATGCGCGAAATCTCGATCGGGAGGACTTAGTGATGTCACTGGTGGGCTTGATCAGACGAAGCGAGATATATCAGCGATGTCGCAGGCCGCGCTCACTAACCGGAAAGGCAAAGGAACAAACCGGGCAATATCTCGGGTATGCGCTGTGGGGTCACTCTCCGTCGGCTGGAGACTTCACTCCGATGGCGAGGGCTGAATGCGAAAATAGAGTCATACGACTAGTGGAGACGCTTGAACGGGGGAAACTGCCTGCAGTGTAATCACAAAAGCGCAAGCCGGAAGACGTTCTACTACCGTGGAAGCGACGCTCTCAGTTCGAAGCTGTGGCAATGCTCAGGAATTCCTGTTGCGACTAAGACAAATATAGATGTAATTCCACATTTATGCATATTTAGATAGGAAACAATCCAAGCACTTGAACTTCGGTTATGTATCCCTCGCTTTTGTTTGGCATATAGCTCAGATTGTCTTAGTCTTGCTAAGTCTCCGAAACTGGGACCTTGTGAACCAAATCGAAGGAGGTACGAAAACGATCCCTCACATATGATAGTGGGCTATGTCTTCCTCGCTGCTCCATACTCGTACATGACCTTCTAGCTTGAAAATGGAGCGAGAGCCATTTAGAGGATATATAATTAGAGTCTTTCCTAATCGAGCGGGGTGATGCTAGATGCCGATTCTAATTTTAATTTAGCCGACAAGGATAGCAAACGCCAACTGAGCATAAAGCAAACAAAGAAACAAGGTAGGCTCTAATCCCGAGTCAGGCACTAACGCATAACCGACCGATCACCCGGGCTCCTGTCGTTACCTTTCACCATCGAAACGACCCAACAAGTCATACTACTCCACGGGGACAGGAATTATAAGTCCGGGCACTGCCTAAGTGCCTAACTCATTCAAGCAAGAGACTTCTGACCCCACCTACGTCATTCTAAAAAGCAAGACCCATGTAAATTAGTAAAGTATTGATCGGACCAATAGAGAAAAGAGTAAGTAATATCACCTTACATGGCGAGGAAGGATTGGTGGCCTTATCACGAACTATACTCTTGGCACACCGGAATCATGCATGGATACACCTCCGGTGACACGAGTCTAAGTTGTTTTGGGCGGGCAAAAAGCAAACAATTTGGATTGTCCAGACCTACAGGGTACATGCTGAAAGAAATGTAGTTAGTAACGATCTAGTCGGGTTGGCCTTATGCAGAGGGCCCTTTTGGGATGCCTAAGATTGTAATATTATGTTACTATGCTACAGAGTTCTATACCGCTAGGAAATTGGTTCTAGAAGTAATTCTTGGCAATGACACCTAGAATCCTTATAATAGACAAAGTGGAAGCTCAAATGTCAGAATCATGCAAATAAGGTTGGACAGCCAAAATTAGCCCGAAATGAGAAAAAGAAATAAAATAAAATAAAATAGCCGGAGACCCAAGAACCGGGAAATGGAAATGACAAATACTGCATGTGTAGTTATATGCTCCCACCAATCTGGAGTAATTCCTCCGACGGTACGGAGTAGGTATATAATCCGATAGTACTCCGTACTATGCAAGAGGCAGAGAAAGGACCCTCTCTATCTCCCTCTAATGGCTCGGCTTTAGACCAATAACCACATTTCAGATCAGTCATTTCGCCAGGGACAACCCTGGTTGCCTGCGAGATCCGATGATCTGCATTCCTTCATGCACGATCTCTGATCTCGTGAATGGGGGTCTCAGGGCATGGCAGGTATGACGGTCGGTTAGAATGCCAATTTCTTTCTTTTTTCTCCGTTTCTTAGTTAGTTTCTGAGTCCGGAGGACCTCGGTTTGAGACTTTTATTAAATTAGACTTTCGAGTTCCGATTTTTCATGCCAGATCTCTGCAGAACGGCGAATCAAAGTGAAGTCTCGGTAGATCCAAAGCTTTGAGGCGCTCCGTTCCGATCGGGAAATAGTTGAATTTATTTAATTCGAAAGGGATCTTCCTGGTGATGGGTGGATCGACTGGGCCTAAAGGACTTACCTTAGGGCCCGAGGTGACTGCAGTGTTAGGTTTTATTAACCTTTGAACTAAATAGACTCGGGTGTCAGATGAAGATAGGGGTTGGATGTATATACGACACAATATGAGTCTTGCATTTAGTACATTTAGTTTACTTTCTAGATTGTTTTAGGAAGCTGTGCAATCACAAAAATCACCCAAAAAATGAATCCATTATCCCGCGTTGATTGGCTGACTAGCACACTCAGCTTGCATTTAGCCTTAGTCCAGGGATCCCCAGACATGACAGATTTGCGCCATTATTGAATTCTCAGAATGTGACTAGTTGCTAGAGCGGGTCTGTTAGTGCCGTGTGTGTGTCAAGCTGAGAAACTGCTCCAGAATATAGTGGTCCAGATTACATCGTATGGACGCGATACGCGAGTCCTAATTAGCGCAAATCTCAATTTACGATCGGTGACATGCGAATCCAAGTGACTAAAATGCAACGCACCTGGGAGATATCATATGCGAGTGTATTTTCACTCCAATCAGATCAACAGCCACCCACTCACCAACCCAGTGCATAATATCGTGAAAACAGGATGGGGAAAAAAAAAAAAGGAAAACACCATAGCGGGTTCTCCGGGTGATCCTTGATCTGACATACGGTGACAGGAAAGAAATGCCAAAAAGAGACCGAAAAAAGGCCCTAGACGCCACAAGCTCTCGAAGGAAGTGGAGATGCAAATTGAAGAACCCCTAGGCGATCTATCCCTGTAAGCCAGCACCAGCCCCTCTCCCTTTCCGGTTGGTCGATCAACCACCGTGCCCACCGATGAGAGGCTCAGGCAATCTACGATCGATCCGAGGCGTCACCTCTGCGGTTTCTGATTCGTCCAAATTAAATCCAGAACCTGTCTGTCTTTTGTCCCCACCGGCTTAAGCTCTTCTCGGAACACGATCTTTTTGGAACCAGTGACAATTCTGCTTGAAGCGGCGATCTTTTCCTACGATTCGGTGGAAGATCCACCTGGGACGCTTTTTGGGTCTTACGCGAAAGGCTCTCGATTCTGCTTGTTATTTCCTCTTCCATGGTAGTGGATGTTCCCTTTTCGATTTCGCCACGAACTACTCCGTACTCCGTAGTCCGTACCGAGTGCTGAATCTCTTAAATCCCCAGAAAAAGCAAAGTGGAGGTGAGGATTTAATATATTAATTACAGACAAATACTTCACTTGGCCTGACTCAGGCACGAATGCCCCTGTCTGAACATGCAACCTGTCCTACGTAGTTGTACGGAGTATATTTCTGTTAATTGTTCTTTTATACATTTGGACTTTCAAGTCCCCTGTAATCGTATACTGTTCATCTTCCTTAATTTGTGTCCCAGGACCTTGGAATATCTCTTTTTCAGCGTATGTAAATGGCAATATTGCCCGCTTATAAGCACTGGCCTGGCATGGGATCTCGAATTTGACGTACACTAGTGAACCACGTCTTTTTGAATTTAATTATTCGATTTTCAATATTCCTCAAACTCCTTTACCCCGAAACATCCAATCACAACATCGGGACTCCTACAATAACCTACGCTATATGGAACCGGGAGGAGTTCGTGAGATAGATCCTGACGCTAAGACTATTCCATTGACAGACTCAAAGAAAGACTCTATCTGTCAACCTTAAGAATCCCGCACTTGTCTCTTGATTTACGCCCCCTTCTCCGCTCCGCATGCCCTTGACACGGAGCGCTGGTCTCTCCGACTCATGTACCCACCAAGCCCACGATCGTCATTTTTCGGCCCCCCCCTGTTCTTACTTTCCCATGGACATGTAACAGCTGGATATGTCTTTTTATTTTATTTTAATTTGAATTTACTTTGATGTAGATTTCGGGGCCACTTTTTTTTAGTTGAAATAATGTACGGGGCCCTGCATTATTTGAGAAACCGCATTTCCATCTTTACCCTCATTCCCCAACCTTGCATATAATCTTGGCCTTTCTCTTTTTTATTTTACCATGTCAACGTAAAATCAGCCTGCTTTCCCTGGTGAGTGCTTCTTGGATACGTCCTTCTTCCCTTTTACCTTGCTGGAGAAGCCTCGAACTACAAACTCGTCTGATATTCATTCTGACTGTCGAGTATAGTTCTATTTTGTAATACATTGTGAAACTCATCCGGACACTTCTATCCTTGTCCCTCCCCAAATACCTTGTCTATGTCACAGTCCCATGAGGTAGACGAACATACCAATATGGCTATTTCGTATACAACCCAGTCGTCGACCGGACACCCTCACCAAACCCTCCCCTCATTCAGAGAGGTAAGATATAAATCGCTTTTAGAAATACAACATGGAATCAAGATCTAATCTCTCTCAGCTCCTCCCCGCTCACCTCCACGATGAAATCGAATCTACCTCCCCATTCTACACCCCCCGCCACTCACAAGACCGCCCACCCTCAAGCCACGAAATGGCCGACCCCCGCTCAATCTCATATGGCAACCAACCCAACCAAATCCCCTACGAATCCCACCGCGAATACACAGTCTCCCGTGGGCCAGACCACCAACCCCGCATGCCGGATCCCGGCCACCACCACATGCATCTATCCGAGAACGCATCCCGTGGGCCCAGCCCAATTCTCCCCCCTATCCGCGACCTGGACTCCATGCCCGGTCGAGCAATGAACCCGTCCGCCAGCAGCGGGTATTCTGAGCGGCCCCCACGCTCCGACCCCTTTATCGCGCAGGAATATCGCCAGCCCGCGCCGACGGCAGCCATTTCTGATCCCCGCGGCGAGCACTTTACCCAGCCCATCATGCATCCCCAGTCGCCGTACGGACATCCTGCTATCGGGTATGATGAGCAGATATCGCCGCAGATGATGGGGCATGGGCAGGGGAATTTCGGGATTATGGGCGATCCGATTGATCCTAAGACGAAGCGGAGACGGGGGAATTTGCCCAAGCCTGTTACGGATATTCTGCGGGCTTGGTTCCATGAGCATCTTGATCATCCTTATCCCAGTGAGGAGGATAAGCAGATGTTTATGACGAGGACGGGACTTTCGATAAGTCAGGTGAGTGCTTCTATGACTAGGGACTGGTAATTGGCTTGTTTATGGCTTTGCTAATGCTTTGGTTGGACAGATTAGTAACTGGTTTATCAATGCTCGGAGACGACAACTTCCTGCGCTGCGGAACCAAATGCGCAGTGGTGCGGATGCGGAGTCTCAACGACAGTCGCCTTTTAGTGATGTCGATGAGCACATTCCGTCTCCTCGTCACTAGAGTGCGATGAACCTGCACCTGGGGTGTGACTTCGATTACGGCCTTAATTTTTTTCTCTTTCTGTTCATTCTTCAACGTTCCACGGCATTCGCAACGTCAGCGTTTTATTCACTTTACGACTGGGAGGCTTTTATATTATTTCTCCCTACCATTTACGAGTCACGGGGTAGGATACGGCGAGCTTGATAGACTGGCTTTTTACTTTCTTTTTCCATGTGTTTTTTCAATGGCTTGCTTTGTTTCTTTCTTCCTTACCTTCCAGGTCTCTGGAGTTCACTCTACATGTCGCATTGCCGTCCGGTACGGAGACTTTGGTCAGACATTATATTTTGATACCCTTTCTTTGGTCGCGTTTACCAAGCGGGAACTTATTATCAACCGGCACAAGAGGTATACGGCAAATTATGGCATTGGCAATCCATCGCACCATTTCTGTGATTTGCTCTACGTGTTTTTTCCCTCCATGTTACACCGCATTTCCATGAGTGCCACTGGACAAACCCCGCGAAAATTGCATTACTAGGCGTTTAGAGGAATACTCGACTTTCAAATCATAACATTTATTCTACATTCTACTCTGGTTCTATCGCCTCAATACTGATCTGAAATGTCAAGCAACACGGAGATACCGCGCAACCCGTCTCCACTTAGTCTCCATCATCGCGACTAACCTATCCATAGTCTGGCTCGCAACCCGTGGAAACCTGGATCTTGCCTTACCTGCGGCTCATGGCACCACTTTTTTTCTTCGGGGCTGATATCTCCACGGTATTGCGAGCCGGTGTGGACTGAGATTGCTTTCTATTTACTCTATGCATATATGGATACGTATGCAAAGTACGGAGTAGATATCCAAAGTATCTAGACCTCTCAAACATATTTTTCTCTCTCAATCTATACTTTTAAACACACTCAGAAAATATTTCGATCGAGAAATCATGATTTTTAGACTGGGGCTACGCGATCCATGGTTTGGACTATTCAATCAATCAATTCCAAATTGATAGACTCGTAAACTAGTGGATATTATTCTAAAACAGTACATGTACTCCGTACTCCACCCGGGCTGTCAAGATCGACCCCATTTTTGGCTTTTCCCTCTGTTACCGAACCTCAACCTCATTTCAAGGTTCCTGCCACGGTCTATGTTCTTTTTGACTTTCTGGCAGCGCTTGAGTTCAGTCCGCGCGGTTACCGAGAGGTGAGGTTGCATTGGATTTTGCGTTTCTAGAATTGTGGAAAGTATCAACTTTCAAGGTTCTGAATAAATTCCAAATGACGTGAACTGACAGCTGCATGGAGTCTCATTTAGACTTCAGCTTTTCGGTCCCTCCGTTGAGTCCACATATCTACAATCCACCGTGCCATGAATTCAAAATACGGTGATGCTGCCATTATATTACCAGTATCGACGTCGTACACACCTAATAATAGAGAAACAGCTCCTTCCCCCTTTGGCATAAATAGCAGTAGCGGGTAGCCACGTGACTAGCGTGTGTCATGTGGTCACGTGGTTGGCCGTGCTGTCGTAGAAACCCCGTAGCACTTCTCTAAGAATTGTTCATACAGTGCTACGTAGCATGGGCTTATTACAATTTAGACAATTCTACACTGCTAAATCCTACTATAATAAGGAAGAAGCAAGTCACAGTGTCAAAGGCTGATACTGGAATAACCGCATGGAATTTACTTTTACTCCGTGCCGGCCACGTGAGCCCAGGGTATGTTCGGCACTCCTTTCCCTTTGACAGCCCCGAGGCATTAAATACCAGACTTAATTTCGATGTGGGGTTGAACATATGATTAAACATTTACAATAATGGGATGCTGAATATTATTTATTGGCCCTTTTATCCGATCGAGACATATCTGAATCAAGTGCGGTTGGAACTGAGACAGGTGCAACTCTCTTCCAATCACATCGCATTACTAAAATATCGTACCGACAACACAACTAGTAGACAGATCTGTTAGGGAGGTTTTTAGATTTCCCGAGCTGCCCGAAGAACACAATTATGGGGTCCTGACATGACCCCCGAAAACTTACCTGACTGCCGATCTTGGGCTTCGGCCATCTTCTTTGCAGCGGTGGGTACAATATCCGATGTGGGTTCTGCCATCATACCTCTAAATTGGAGACGTCAGTGAGGGGACTGCGAACTCATATTGTAAAAGTGATATCCAACGCATCGAATGAAAAGGGGAAGGGGCGGGTAGAAACAAGATTAGGGAATAGATATCAAACGCGACCATATCTAGAATGCACGATGTACCTCAACATCATAAAAAGCAAAAACCCAGAAGAAGCAAGCATGCTATACGTCTAAAATACAAGACTATACGAACCCCGTGACCCAGTCCCACATAGGGGGGGCAGCGGATATGCAAGCCACTGGCACAACCTTGGAAACCCCAGCATCCAGCACTCCGTATATCCGGCGACCACGACTCGTCGATCTAAAACAAAACGCACTCGACAAAGTCGTGCAGCGTACGCCGTACATACATACAGCCTACAGCTTTTCGTCGATCTCGACCGAATCACAGTCCATGGAAACCTTCACCCCCTCCCTACCTTACGGTTGGACCTCCCTGTCACTTATCTGCTAACCGAAGCCCAAGCAAACCCCGTTTCTGCACCTCACGCTTTCAGATTCCGTTTTCACCCTCATTTCCTCGCGAGTACGATACAACCCCGTTCGGTGTCCCATCCGCCCCCACTTAGCCATTCAGTAGCCAAATACGTGCATCCGACCCGTCATATAGCGGTGAAATCGACGTCTGACACTTCGTTACGTGCAAGTGCAAGTGCAAGTATGCAACCATACTTGCAACCTTGGGACTATATAGGCAAGTACCATGCATGTGCTGTGCTCCGTTACTCCGTACATCGTACATACATGCTAGGTGCTTGCTACGTATGTGTGCGTCTTCTCTTCTGCGCTGTCATGAGCGTTTGGGCCTCGACCGGGAACGTGCATGTCGATCCCAACGACGTCCCTGCTTAATGAGGGAGGAGATGTGTGCTTTTAGTTCCCATCGGCTGTGTCAACTTTGGTTTTCGTGAGCTGTCTCATGTCAGGATTTGGGTTGTGACGATCGCGTGTAGATCGATGGATGGGTTCGTGCGAGCTTGAGTCTCACCGTATACTCCGTATACTCCGTATACTCCGTAGGACTAGGACGATGTCTGAGCACATGTGTTGTACTCCGTACTTCATACATCTTTGAATAATTGGATCGGAATACGCGGAGCAGTATAATATGTGATATGATTTCATCCGATCACATATTGGATGTTCGTCCTCGCGTTGAAGTGGGAATTAAAATTGAAACCGCAGCCCTTGATCTGGCTTGAATCATGGCATATTATTTGTTGATAATTATTTTTATTTTCCTCCTACAAGCCGGCTACGATGATCTTGATTTAATCATGTCTAAGCTTCCAAACTTTGAATCTTTAATTTCCAGATGAATGATCGGCAAACCCACCCACTGTACACTAATTACTCAAATCAATAGTGCCGTTTAGTCTGGCCGTGGTGGTATTTTTGACACTTGCATTCTCCATTTTTCAGGGATCTTCGTCCGGGTTTGTTTTTATTTGTGAACTAGGTTGTACTTCGTAGACGAGATAGATAGTAGCTACAAGAATCGACGATGTATGAAAACTCTTTCCTCGATGCTATGAGCCAGGTATTATTATGGGCTTATATAGAGTCTGTCTAGGTACCACTAGATTCTATACTGCTTGTTCGTTTACGATGAGGGTATGGCTAGCCGCGTTCTAAACTGGAATTTGCGATTAACATGTCCAGGTCCCTACGTAGATAGACTCTTGATTACGTTGCATGGCGCATATAACTACTAATCCCAACTAGCAGTGAATGCTGCTATGTACTTCGCACCTCTTGTGATATCGAAAATGATATCTGTAGTATCAAGTCACACCTTCATCTGTGTGTTACCATTCTCTTGTAGCCGCCACAGTTCTGCAAGGGTGGATGCAAGTAGTAAATAAGTGCATTGGCTAGTTCTTATGCACAATTTTCAGGCCTTAGTCGTGCGTGCTGCACATGTAATGCCATGAAGAAATACGAGAAAATATATACAAGATGTCAGGTATCAGGTATATCGCCTAAGGTATTCAAGAGCCTGCGCATCTCATTTAGGCACAGCAATGCACAGTTCTTACAATTACCGTTAGACTACTCTAGTATTAAGCGTGGCATTTGGCCTACCTTCTGATAGAGGACTCTATTCTAGTGGATTGCCTATCTAAATACCTTGGTCTGTTGGCGGGTAATTTCAGACGGCTGGACTTCTGCTCGTAAACACCTGCTAGTAAAATATAACTTCCCTTTGCACTTTGTGGTATAACCGTGAGATATTCTATGTTTTTAGGACTCGGATCTGGGTGGTCTTTTTTATTCTTTCTTTTGATCTTGACTTTGCTACTATTCTTGAGCTTTAGTCAAAGTAGCCGTGTATTTTGCAATTAAAAATGAGAGATTGGAGGTATTCTTCTTACGTAGGTAGACTGTGATCGTGGCGCAGCAGGCAAATAGCGATTTCAATATCGAATATCTAAAACTATTGGAAATTTCATATTCGTGTGCCTACCTTTGTTATTCTCGGGCTATATCATATTGGGCTTGATGGTTGTCGTTCGCCAAAACTATTTTCGAAAAATGGCTGTATTGGTTTGGCTCAATATACCTTACCATCGCTCTGTTACTACTTCTGGCTCTTGTAACAACGAGGCATAGCTCATACCATTTTCCTGCTTTCAAGACAAATTTGATGCATTTAGGGCTTTCACTATTCCTATGCAGTTTGTAGACCTCCCTTTCTTTCTTGTTCTCTTCTCACGGGTAGCTTGTTGTGTTGGCAGTCTCTTTATCTGGCTGCAGAGATGTTTCTTCTGGATTCTTTAGGATGAGACCTTTGTAACTTTATATGAAGATATTTAGAAAGCTTGATGGCAGTAGCTAGATCATCTTCTTCCATCCATCTGACACAGTTTATTATCATCTTTGGTTGAGCATATCTCTTCTCTTACGCAGACCTATACGTACGTCAGAATTTCTTTACGACTGCATGTTGAACAAAACTGCTTCGAGCAACATGTTATGCGGCACCACACTGTGTAATATAGAAGGGAAATGGTTTATTAATAGAGATCTGCTGGGTGGAACGTCTCGTGAGAGTAAGCGACAGGTGTAGATTGAGATGAATAATGATGGACAAGGAGGAGAGGAAAAGGGAGGAAGGACGAGACCAGCTATTCTATTTAGTAGTGGGATCTGGCCACCCAACATTTATGTCCTTCATTGGATCCTGCATGATGTCCAAAACTAGGGTTCAATCATGTTTTCTACGCAAGTTTCATGTTCCACTAGACTTACCGTGATAATTTCTTTATGAACACGTTCTTTTGGGTCTATACAGAAACATCTTTCGGCTTTTGCTGTTATGGCAGCTTCTCGTCGTAGAATTATTTCTACTTGTTTGGATGTATAATATATTCAACATATAGCGCCCATGTATATATTTCCTATTAACAACAATCCTCCATAAATACATTGGTCATATCCCCACCATATTTGGATATACATTGGCATTCTACAAAACTAGAAATATGTTAACTTTTATGCAGTCACTAACCTTGTTTTCATAGAAAGATCATCACCACTGGTCAGAGTATACAACCGGATCAAGAGGCAACCAACCCAGTTCATCATACAATGTGATAAACACGCCCAAAAAAACCGTGACATTTACAGAACGTAGGGTTACTCAATCAGACGCAAAATATCAACGCTACAAGCCTTGTTTGGTAAATACGTGTAGCAGCTCGTTCAAAGTCACGTGCAAAATAGGCGTGAGTAGGCGGGTCCCACAAGAATTCGCTTATAGCGCACATTTCCACCAAACTGTTCATAACAAGGCCGGCTGGCCCAATGGCAAGGCGCTTGACTACGAATCAAGAGATTGCAGGTTCGATCCCTGCGTCGGTCACTTCTTTTTTGGGATTTTCTTTTACTCAGGCTTCGTAAAAGGCTAGAAAAATGTTGTTGCGATCGCATTTTTGTTAGGGAGATACCTGACAATGCTCTCTTTTTTGTTTCCGAGTCTGTCATACATACCACAGTGCCAGAGAAGCAAGGCAAAATTGCAAGGAGGCGATGAGAACAGAAAAATAGGAAGACAAGACGCTCGTAGTCCCAGAGAGAAGGGGTCACGCGCAGCAGGCAGTTAAATGACGAAAAGCCTAATATACAAGGAGACTTGTAGAAAGAAATGCATCGAAGCACGGTACCAGCATTGGGAAATTAAGCCGAGCATGTGAAAGCAGCGATCTTAAATGAGATGAATGGCGAGTCTCCTAATCAATATTCATCATCAGCTGCAATGTACACGTGTATACTGTGGACTGCACGTTATAGTTAGACATAATCCAACGGTTTCCCAAGCACCCAGGCGGAGACGCAATCTAAAACAACTGCAAGCATCCACATATTCTCGACATACATACATACTCCGTACATATTCAAAAACTCAATTTCCAAATCAAGACTTATCCCGCGGGTAGCCTGAAAACGCCCCGGAGCTTTTAGAGCTAGATAAAAGCTTCGGCTCTTGCGACACTTGGTCGATAACAGGGACCGGAGTCCCGGGGTTCCTAGGATCCCGGGAGTCCTTCTGTCAATGCTAGCAAGAAAATCCTGATCCGGAGATTATGTCCAAGCTTAAAGCTTATGCATGTGAAACAAGGCATATATATTGCATGTTGGCCGTATCGGGATGCTATGTTAAACGGAGTGTACAACTAGAATAGTGCATTTGGACAAAAAGCTATAATGCGCGCTAGCTTTAGACACGGTGGGTCGGGTCGAGAGATCTACATCACAAAGATGTGCACGTAGCTCATGTCTCTAAACAAGATAGGAATATCTAATAGTCAAACGGTCCTTATCTCTGAGCATGCATACCTATTCCCTGCAAGTAACTACGTCGAGAACCTTGTCTGCATCGAAAGTCGCCTAGCTTGCGAGCTCTCGGAAAATTAGATCCAAGTTGCGTGGTTTCATGGCAATTGTTTATTGGAGGATGGTCAGACAGCCCTGCAAGGAAGATGCAGAGAAGCAAGAAGGAATAGGAGGGGAACTTTATGTCAGCCAATAAGACGTTGGTATGTGCAGCTTGATCTGACTGCATTGCCTTGTTGACCCCCTCGTCGATGCATCACGCTCATAAAGAGTAGTAAGAGGGGTTGTGGCTTCCTGTGGTTTCCACCCGCGCGCCGCGACTGAAGGTTTGCCACTGCATTGCTGTGCCGTCAAGAAGCGAGCGATATACTTTCTCAGTATCATTACCCGAGACAGGTTGATGCGATCGGCGTTCTGTAGAAAGATCTTCTAGAATCTACAACATCGAGGGTTGCTTCTCCCAACTTGAGAGATAACAATATTGTTGAGAGCGCATCAACGCGACGATCGTGGTTATGTTGTATTTGCCACTGGGTCTAGCACTCTATTTACCTCCTATCAAAGCTGGACCTATACCTACACCCTTGTCGGTGATTTCAACCCACATCTTAGCCGTTCGAGGCGCATCGCTAAATCTCTGGGCATAGCTTGACGGGCCATTCCGGTACGCTAAATTCAAAATTTTACCTAATAATAAACTCGATATAGCTCGCATAATGGAGCTTAATCAAGAGTCCCGATAACGAGCCAGGCCGAGGTGAAAATGTCGGCTAGGCCGTTGTCAAGGCTGTGGACCTGGGGGCCAGCCAACGGGTCGACTGTTACCCCAGAGTTCAACGAGCCAAGCAAGCCCAATTCAGCATTTGATCAGGATCATAGTACGTTATTCGCGTATTAACCAATTTGAACTGACCGCTTCTTGATCCGGGATTCCCGCGTCCAAGACAAAAGAGCACTAAGAATCGGAACGGTCGGGAGTAAATTCCTTTGCATGAAAGTTATATTGCACTTGGATAGAGTGGATCATTCAGAGCCAGGGAAAAAGATGCCTCGGATGATCTCCGCGGGCGACTAATATATATTCTTCCGCATTGCCACTCACCGTTGCGCGATTAGCAATTTTAGGATATATTGGAACAATTGCTAGGGTTGCATTCTGGGCTGGTCTTGAAATTTGATTAACGAGGCCGATCAAGGACGTTAAAATATATTCTTAGAAGATTGAAGTTGATCTTAATTGCAGTGCGATCGGCGCTGTCAATGATATGAATGTGATATGATACCATCCTCTGGATTTTGATTTAGCTGAAACTAAAACAGAATTAAAATGGAGAACGGGGCAAACGAGATTCGCCTATGAGATCCAAGAAAAAGCAGCCAAAGGACGGCTGGAAATGCCATATCTCGAGGCTAAATAAGAAGGGTATTAAATGGCAGGATAGCCGTTGTTAAGCGGGCCTGGAAAGTTACAAGGTGACATTGCTGCGATCCCCAAGCCTGATAGCCATTTCCCTTTGAGACATTGCACATGCGAACCAATTATTGCCGAGTTATCGTTGTGTGCCTGTTGTCCCTCCCCACCCTGCATCCTCAACTTCCCCCTTCCCCCCCCCCACTTAGGACGAATTGAACGAGAGGCATTGCCAAATCATACAAGGTCTGCCCTTCTTATGCTAGACCTTTGTCTAGATCAGGATTATGTCGGAAGTCTCCGAGCAAGACAAAGACGCAAAGAAGGAGTTGCATTAGATAGGGAAAAGGGAAAGGACCCCACGATAACCTCGGACTGGTGAAATAAGACGAACAAGTCAAGAATCAAACGCAAAAGGACGTATGGAGTATAGATCGGGCCACTCAGCCCACTCCAACCCCCTCTCCTACGGTTCTCGTCGGAGAAACTGGGCCAGGGGAATTAATACGACATTATCAACCCCTCCTCAAAGTATGCACCGACAATCGCTGCCTTTCTAGAAGCCGGCGGGAAGTTTTCAGATTGGTGGATGCATATTCGATTACCCCAGGTCCGCCATGGTCCGCTAGAATCCGCCATGAACGGGATGTACCTGCGCGGATTCTACGATATCGTCAGTAATCGGCCTCTTGTCGCAATTGGCTAAAGGCCCTCACCCGGGCTAGTGCTCTAGTGACCCGCTATTATAAGGCTTGGATCTCCCTGATAGACATGATCTTCAGGTTTCTGATTTTGGGCTTTTGCTTAAGGGTCCAATTGTTGATCAGCCTTCTCTTCCTACTCTCCAACTTCTCATCTTTCTTCCATCATACATAGATGATCCCCTAAACAGTACCTACATACCTTCAATACCCACAGTAACCATCCAACACCCAATACAATGACGAGAACCGGCCCTACAATTAATCCTATCTCGTGGGACACCAAGCCTATTGTCCCGGATAATGGCAGCAGAATTGACTCGGTCGCGTGTCAAGATGCGAGGCCAAAAGGGCGCATCCGACGATCAATGACTGCTTGTAATACCTGCCGCAAGCTGAAGACTCGCTGTGATGTCGATCCCCGTGGTCATTCTTGTCGTCGCTGTTTGTCACTTAGGTTTGTTTGGCCCTTTTATTCATGCGGTGGACCTTTTTGCTCTTTTTTGGAGTCTGCCGTTTCCATATGCTGATTATTGTCATAATAGGCTGGATTGCGAGCTCCCGGAGACAACAGAGCGGTTCCAGGACAATGCATCAACCTGGTCTGACGCCACCGCTATACCATCGATCGAGGAACGGCTTGTCTCTCTCGAACGAGGCATGGGGGAGATGATCCATCTGATGCGGCAGATGGTGAACCGCTCCCCCAGCATGCCCTGCAGCCCCACCTTACAAACTAGAAACCACAGCATAGATGGAATATCTTCAAGCGATAGCATGTCCTCATCTTTCCATCCGCTCAAGCCAGCGCAACTTATTCGAGACCTGCAAGCCGAGTGCTTCGGCGAGAGAGATCAATTATCAGATGCCGACATCCTCGGAGACATCGTCACCCAGGGCATCGTAGATTCCAAGCTTTCCATGAAATTGATTGAACTGTGTGTCTGATTGTGTGTTTGCCACTGGAATTCCCTGCTAATCATCTCGCTAGTTTTGTCGAATATTTCGGCCATTGGGTCTCAATAAATCATTCGTCTAGCATTCAACGGTCAAATACACTCCTTTTCAACACTGCATGTCTCTTGGCTTCGCGTTATCTGCCTGGTCTACCACAACACACTGTCCGCGATATCTCACTTTGTGTACAACATGCCGTGGCGAAGGTGCTGTGGAAGCCCCCGCCCATGACGAGCGATATGCTACAGGCGTTGACATTGCTCTGTCTATACTCCACTTCCATCCACAAAGAAGGACTGATGGACGACTGGTTGCTGAGCGGGATCTCAATCAACCATGCGCTCATCTCATTTAACTTCCTGAATACCTTGCCAGGAGACCGTTTAAACCCAGACGAGCTACTTGCCCAGTTGCGTCTGTGGAATACACTTTGCGCAACCCAGCTACAGTATGTTCTGTCTATAAAAACCGTCGGATATACGATCTAACACCACCCAATAGCTCCGCCCTCGCAAACGGCCGCACCGTCAATATCCAACAACAATACATCGACCAATGCCCCCGAATCCTAGAATATGCAGCCACCACACCAGAAGACGGAAGAATTGTCGCAGAAATCCAACTATACCGCATCGCCCTCCGACTTCAACACAACCAGCACCGCCTCCGATTCGCAGAACCCGAATACGAAGAACTGGAGCGCTGGAAATTGGAATGGGCACATCTTCTAAGTACAGCAGCCCTACTATATGCACATCAAATCCAATCTCAATCTAACAACACCCCTACAGCCACCAGCGAAGACTCAACGCTCAACCTAAGTCTCTGGTTCTGCCAACTCCTCCTCCACCGAACAGTCGCCCGCCTCCAACCAGACAGCGAGCGCCTCGTCCCAGAAATATGCGGCACCGCCCGCCTAATAATAACCCAATTCCTCCAAACGCGCTTCACCTCCGCACCCGCATTAATCGACCACGTCTACTTCATCGTCGGCTACGCCGCGCTCACGCTCTGCGACTACACGCTCACCGACCCGCTAATCAGCCAAGTCCGCGGCTTCCTTCTGCACCTCGCCCCAGGCGGCGACAACCTCTCCTACCGGATCGCGTGTATTGTCGGCGAAGTGCAGCGGCGGTACTCGGAGGCGAGTGTTGTTACTGCGGGGTCGCATTCGTCGTCGCCGGTTGCGGAGGTCAAGAGCATGCAGATGTTCGGTCCGTCGAGCCATCATCGTACCGGCATGGATATCTCGCAGCTTATGTCTAGCTCTGAGGGCTTAGATTCCCTCGTTGAGGGGTATAACTGTCTCGAGCAGATGATGCCTGGGTATGCGGCTTCACAGCCTGCGTTTGAGGCTCCGGATTTGTTTCATCATTCTCCTCCGACTGGTGTGACTGGTGGGGCTATGCCTATTGGTCTGGTGCCGAGGGCATTGCATGATTGGTGATGGGATTGTGGGCTTGGCCTTTTGGTTCTAGATTATTGGAGTTGGTGTATGTTAAGTTGATATCGGTTAGGTTTTTTGGGGTTGGGTGTTGTGTTTTTTCTAGCGCAGGATCGTAACAGCAAAAGCACAACTGAATGAAAATAGTCATGACTTGTTCGAGGATTCTTCGTTTCGTAGTTTTATTGATTATAGTAAATCTTATCTATGGATGGATATGGCTTAGATGATTCATCATTTAGCAACTATTTCAATACATTCTCCATTCTCCATTCTGTCATCGATACGATGTAAACACCAAATTAATATGATATAAAGTTCATGACCTGACCAAGTCATTAGACACATCCCCCTTTGGCAACGAAGCACAAGAACTATAGATGGTGATTGGAAAGAAGAAACATATATCTCGTGCGGGCAGTTTAGCCTCGACCCGACCACCAATACCTCGAACACGAGATCTACGACGAACACAGAGTTGAGCACTCAAGTAAAGAGGTGGGCAGTAAAATCCTGGGCTCTCCACCTGCCATAGCAACAGACACCTCCCCACTATCACCGGCAGTAACACTAGCGCAGGACACAACCTCCGTCAACTCCTCACCAGCTGCGAATCCAGTATCAGGAATTGAAGCCGAGTACTCTGCACCTCCTGCACCAAGATTGCTCAATACAGTGATTATCTGCCCGCCGTCAAAGCCCTTCCGCATGGCGATGGTGGTATCGTCTTTGTAGATTGGGTAGTTCTGTGAATATTGAGTAAGCCATTTATGTTCTTTTATTCCTTCCTTCCTTCAGACAGGGAGATAAGCATATACCTGGTAAATAGTATAGTTGGTACTTTTAGCAATCGCCTGGTTTCTAGCAGCATTGGCCGTTGCAATGAGCTTGTACAGTTCGCTGTCAGTGTTGAATCCAGACAACCATATAGCCTCGCGATTAGCTGGGTCTTCGCCACCATTGTAGTGCTGTTCCTGTCCGGCGTAGATAATAGGAATGCCGTCTGCCATGATGGTGAATGTGGCAGCGTTCTTAGCGAGGGCAATGTCGTCGGTGACGCTGGGTTCCGGAAAGAGAGATATTAACTTCTAGACATACAGAATGGAGCAATTTCCGTTGCTCTTATTGAGTTTTCACTTACGAGGCAAAACGAGGGTTATCATGGTTCTCCACGAAACTCCCGAGAAGGGTTGAGTCCTTGCAGGTCGATTTCACCGTGTTTATCATGTTGTATAGGTCGGTCATGCTTCCAGAGGTCGATTGAAAGGCACTGAGGAGTGGGTAGTAACTATTCTCAATTAGCTTTTGGTTCTCTCTGTGTATCTGGTAAATTTCATGGATAAGCGGGATCGCACATTGGGTAGTTGAGCACTCCGTCCATTACCTCCTGGTATGGACAGGTATAATCAGCGTCACCATCAAAGACCTCGCCCACGCAGTAGACGCCGGCGGCTTTATTATAGCCGGGCCAGAAATCTTTCTGGACGTGTTTGACTGTGTCGACGCGGAGACCGTCGACTATATACCAGTTAGTCTTCGGATATGGCGATATATTTTGCCGAAGTAGGGAGTTCTAGAGAAGACAACTTACTCGAGTAATTAGAGACCAAAGATCCAACCCAGTCATACCATATGTCCTGCACCTCGGTACTCTCTGTATCCAGATCCGGCAGCGAAACATTGTCATCCCCAAGCCAGCAGTCTTGCGCCATGGTATCGTTGCTGTAATCGGTGATTGTGCAGTAGGGGTGGAAATACTTCGCATCGTTGAAGGGGTTGAATTTGGTGTAGTCTACGTCCGCGCCTGCGCCATCGTAGCCCTTTTTATCCAATACATGTCAGTTTCAGCCCGCATGATTGGGGGCATAGACGGATTAACTCACCATGTGGTTTGCTACTACATCGACCATGAGATACATGTCACGTTCATGCAAAGCCGCAGCGAGGGCCTTGAGATCGTCTGCAGTTCCGTAGTTCGAGTTAAGAGCATAGCTAGGGTCTGTAAGCATGCAGGTCTCAAGGACTGTCGTTTCTGCTTTGCGATACTCACATGTCCTGCTGCCAGTATCCGTGATAGGCATAGCCGTACGCAGTATCCTCGGTCAATTGACCAGTCACGGGAGTGATCCAAATGGCTGTGAAGCCCATTCCTTGGATATAGTCCAGCTAAGCGATTGATCAGTTTGATGATAATAGGTAGTATTAGAGTATTACTGACCTTGTCGATAATTCCTTGCCAGGTTCCGCCACAGTATTTCTACCCAGTGAGTACGGTTAGCTCTATCTCAATGTCACATAGCCGATATATAGATAGAAACCGACTCTATCACTGGTATCACAGGCAGCAGTAGTTGAACCATCCGTTCGGGCGAATCGATCAGTGAGCATGAAGTAGATCGACTGTGAGCGCCATTCATCTGGAGTCGCAGCAATGGCAGTGCTAACCAAGCTGGCAAGCCAAGCAAATCGTGCGAGAACCATCTTCAGCACTGATAATCAATAGGGAAAGAGAGGAAAGTCGTTCAGCAACGGGAGATTCCAACAAAAAGCGCTGCAAGGGACTTCATATAAATATTCTATCAAAAGCCGTGCATATAGCGACAGACGAATAGAACTACCGGAGACCAACAACCGGAGACCAATAACTCGAAATCGGACTCCGAGAAGGAGTATAACTTAAACCAATAGACGCTAAAAGCCCAGACGAAGATCTTCACAGATGCTTCTACTTAAATCAGAAGTAAATCCCTCTAAATGCCCGTCCCTAGCCACAGCCATATCCAAGATGAAACTAGAAAAGGAGAGAGAGAGAGAGCTGCGAACTCCGTATGGTCAAGAACTCCGTGATTAATTGAAAGATCATCTCCCGAAACAAAAATCCCATAGTCATCCTTCACATATAATTCGTCAGGTCCCCAGCCCTGCCGGAAAAAAAGCAAAGTCACAAGAGTATGCATGCATAACCTTGAAATTATTAGCCCGGATTACAAGGCTAGCGCATGGCATGTGCGAAATTAAATAATCCCTGCCGAAGCCCCTGACGCGGGCTTTGATCGAATCAGCGTGCGCAGGAACTTGGAGCCCAAATTTGCAGGGACGCGGGGGGCGGAGATGGGGTTGCAGTGGCTTGTCGGCTCGTTTGAGATGATGTCGATCTTATGAACTCGGGGTTTACTCGGGATGCTACTGGCCTTAGGAGATGCTGCTAGGATGGTTTAGGCTTATACTCCGTATGTATAGAGGCAATGCGAGTATATTGTAGTGTGAAATGTGATGACAATCAATATTTGGGCTTCATAACTCGGCCCGAGACAATCTGTGGATTTTTGAACAGCCTATTTGTGAATGCGACCGCGGGGGTGTTGTGTCTTCAGCTGAGTGAGCTTACGGAGTCGCCGACACTATAACTAACAATGGGCGCTCGGTCTTTTGATAATAAGGAGCCCGGAACAATCGGAAGATATTGCGAACGGAAAAGGTATGTACTAAACTTGAAACACGTCCATTATGTAAAGATTGTCCAGCGTGTCGAGGGATGAATAAATGAATGTGATTGCCATTAGGATAGACTATAGAAAAGACAGCAGACCTACCACTCCAAAGTCCAGTTCTCACTGAAAGCACCGTCCTTGGTCAACTCCTCCAAACCACAAACACACAACACATGTGATGTAGCATTATATTCCACACCAGAAGCTGGGACAGGTCTACCGTTAAGTTTAACAGTGCCAGGTGTCTTAGAAACACCGAGAACAGTAACAGTAGCGAGAGGATTCGACTCTTCCCAGGTACCTTTCGCCTTGGCACTCAAGCTGGACCCCTTGACCTTGAAAGTAACATCAAGCGTGTCATCCGGAACATTGCTCTCTCCGTCATCGAGATACAACTTCCCAGAGGCAGCTCTACTGCCACCGAGCGCGACAAGCAAAGACCAGGGCGTAGCACGCGCCTCCTTTGTAGTCAAAGCCGGGTCCTGCATCGGCAAGACGCTGCCTCCACGCACGAAAACCGGGATATGCCCGAGCGGAGCGGGGATGGTAGTGTTCACACCTGGCTTTGCGTCCACGGCTGTCTGAGTGTACCAATCGTACCACACCTCACCGTGCTTGAGGCCCGGGAAAACGCCTTTGACGGAGATAGCTTGCGGCGCGAGCACTGGGATGACCATGATTGAAGGGCCGAGGAGAAATTGGGTGTCAACTGCGGCGAGGGAGGGGTCTGTTGGGAACTCCCAGGCCAGGGCGCGCATGACGGTGGAGCCAGTGGTGTGGGCTTCGTGGAAGAGGGTGTAGAAGTAGGGGAGAATTGCGTAGCGGATATTCATGGCGGATTTGGTAGCGGCTGTGACAGATTCCCAGATATAGGGCTCTTGGGGGATTGCGGAGAGAGTGTTGTGGTTGCGGTAGAAGGGGAAGAAGGCTGATAGTTGCATCCAGCGGTTGCAGAGTTCTTCGTCGGTGTTGCCGTTGAAGCCGCAAGTGTCGACTCCGAACATGGGGATTCCGAAGAGGGAGAATGACAGGGCTTGTGGGATAGAGAAAAACATATATGCCCACTTAGAGGCATTGTCACCACCCCAGTGGCCGGCCCATTTACCGGAGCCTGCGAATGTTGAACGGCCGATGATGAAGGGTCGCTTCTTTTCATCGACCTTCAGCAGGCCATGATAAGTGGCGTTAAGGATTTGGTGGCCGAAGAGGCTGTGAACGTCATATTCTTGGACTCCATCGGAGTGAGTGGCGTTTGGAGACACAGCGTGCGAGCTGAGGTCGTGGCCATCTTGGTCATGATTGATCACATATGGCGGGTAGTTGATGTTGCGTACTCCCGCAGTGGGTGTGGTCCGCAGATAAGAGATGGACGAAGAGGCAGAACTGCTAGTTTCGGCGGCAGCAGCCTGGCTAGATGACGCTGCAGATGCAGATGCAGCCTCTGTCTTGTTTCTGAGCTCAAACCCTTCCGGATAGTCATAGATCACGTTGCCAGGCTCTCCGGGCAGGGAG